AATATGTATAAAAATAATACGTCGTTTTTTTTATTATTTGCCTCCATTGACATCTTTCTACTAACGTTGTATGAGGACTATGCTTGCTGTTTTCTGTATGTTTGTAAAGTGACACGAATAATCTCTGCGTCTGTTAAAATCAACGGAAACATTAATTTGTCGGATTTGTTTTTAACTAAATTTTGGCGTGACATCATCTCATCATTGTAACTCAACTTGTTGTAAAAGCTCATGTTCAGCATTACTTTGCACTTAAATGTGTACTTTATACTCGTTTGCAGTAATAAATGACGTTTGAACAACGTGACTGTCGGTGGACATAAAGCATGTTTTTAGGAATAATAATGAAGCGGGACATGTGTTCGTCTGTCCGATAATGGACGCATCTGTTGCGGGTTTGTTGTTTGGGATCAGCTGAGCTAGCCAGTTAGCATGCTAATGTCAGGCATCCTTGTTGCACATGTAAAACAGAACCATAACCTCATAGGAGACACTAATACTGACGGATATAATAACTGTATTTATGTATTTACATTTCTCCCTGTTGGTAGTTTTTGTACAGAGTTACTATTTTTTGTTTTAGTCCACTCAAAACACCAACTTTCCTGTAATTCAGAACAACATTATTACAGATTTCCTTGATGCTGAATCTGTCAGATGACTTTCCAGAATTTCACAACATAAGCAACGCCTAAGAAATGTGAGCATGTGCCTCTCATTAACACTGTATTTGGGGCATGTATTTGAGCTTCTAGTCAAGGACGAGTCACTTCCTGTTGGTCACCAATTAGAAGTCACTGACTAGAAGGAGAGGAAGTCTGATGGACTCCACACAGGGAGGTCGGTGTCATGTTATCATGCGTTTCTCCCAATTAAATTAATAAAATAATGTAATGTACAGTCAGTGGCAAAAATATATCTTAACATAGAACTTGCATGTTCTATTCCAAAGAAGAAAAAACTAATTAAAAGTCATTTTTAATAACACAAACGACTAGAAATCTTGCTCTGGATATTATCGAAGTTCAACAATATGTTCTGAGGTCAACTCCATTTGTGTGGATCCAATACTCCACGTCCTGGTATCTGCTGTTACTAGTACTCGTTATAGCTCACTGTGTGGAACTCATCGGGATGGTTTACGTGTCTCGCTGTGTGGAACTCAGTGGGACGGTTTACATGTTGAAAAACGTGAGGCCGGGAATTAGGGTCGCTCAAAGAAAACAGAGTCTGAAGCTAAATGATGTGACACCTACTAAGAGGACTGAACTCGGCGTGGATCACCTGACCTGCTTCATGTGATCGGTATTGACGCTGATACCGATCAGCCGGTTGTCCCTTTTGTTTTGATATGTTTCTTTTTCGCGGCTTCCACAAGCACGAGACTGCTGCAGATCAAAGGTCGGCAGCTTTACAGACTCGGGGCGAGTGGAGAGCTACGAGAATGGACAGAAGGCAGGATTATGTGTGCTGCACCTTTTTAAACAACAAGGCAATTCAAAAGGACAGAAGGAACTGAACGGTGACGACTGTTATCGACTGCAAACATTACTGCTATAAATGAATGGAGGGTGGATATCATGAATAATAGAGATGTTGTTGCAGTGATGAAACATACACTGCTGGACTGCAGAAAAAACTTTGTAACTTTTTTACATTTTCAGAAGAGACTGACGAAAGAAATCGTCTGTGAGATTGTATTGAGTTTATCAGGAAGTGATGTCATGTGTTTGTGTTGGGCTCACGCGAATGAAAGCGAGACAACAGGAGAAACCAGCCTGTCAGCAGGAATTACACTGTTAGAGGATTGGATTAAAGGAAAAGTCTGTGTTTACGCCACGAGTCCTGTTTTCATAATCATTCTTGTTGGCTATGAAAACATTTCACTGCAGAGATCTGTGAACGCAGCGACGTGATCAGACAGATCCTCACTGAACAGTGTTTGTGTTATTTAAACCGTTTATTTGGAAAATAAACCGAAAGTGAACTCTACTGAAACATGAACCCGTTTGTGTTTCCATTTATTCACATCCCATTTATTTTCATAGCAATACAGTTGTTTCTTTATTTTAGTATTTCGATATGTAATGGGACCTTCGCCCTGCAAAAAAAAAAAAAAAAAAGTCAACATTGACTTATTTTAATTGACGTCTTTTCCTTAAATAGAGTAAGAAACTTTAAAACAAGCCATGATCTTTTACCAAACCTAAACATAACAAGTCATTTTGTTCCTTTTTTGTTTTGTTCCAATTTTAAAAAACTGCGAGCCGTAATCGGTAGAAAATGTTTTCCTTGAAACCTGATCGAGAATGGATTTTAGTTATATGGGAATGTAATTTTGGACATGGTTGCCCAGTGTTTTCTCATTGTTTAAACCATTTACACAAGTTGTGATTGTACAATTTTTAGTTACTTAAGAAAAGCAGCAAACTAATATTTTGATGGCTGTGATCTCTCTCGTCTCTCAGGAGTACATCGTCCGGGTCCAGAGGGGCGTGTCTTCAGAGAACAGCTGGCAGGTAAATGCACCAATCACCACCTCAGGTGGCAACCAATTAGAATGAACGGAGGAGAGAACATGACTATGAAATGCCAATCAGTTTGTTTGGCAGAAGTACTGACCGATTAAAAATGTCCAGATCATAAGACCAATAAGGAGATGAATTGACCAATCACAGACGGGTCAGTAACGTGTGTGTGTGTGTGTGTGTGTGTGTTGCAGGTGATTCGGCGCTACAGCGACTTTGATGTCCTCAACAGCAGCCTGATGGTGAGTTTCTTTTCGTCGCTGCGTCTCCTGGGTGTTTTAAAACATGCTCGTCTTACAGATGGACCAGCAGAGAAGTGTCTCGTGCCTCGTCGCTGCTTTGAGAAAGTTTCTGCGGACATTTTCGGATCTTTCGTGACTGACATGAATTCAAGCTGCTGCTGAAGGAAAAAACTACAAACTTTTCACAATGTCTTTAAATGCTCGGTGCAGAAATTAGTGTTTTTGGTGACTGAGCTCTACAGATGACACTAGTTTTAAAAATGATTATCATACACTGTTATGGTGGACTGCTTTATAAAATGGGCAGCAGTACTGTTGAAGTGCGTTGTTTGTAATTGCCTAATAACATGAAGAAAACGGCAGCCTGCCAACATGAAATGTCTATAAGTGCACATTTACACACCGCGGCATCGTCTTAGCCAATAATCTCCTTCCTGTTTGGAAACACTGAGTGCCTGTTGGGTACGATATGCTCAAGGTTTTGCTGTTGTGTCATTGATTTCCTGGCTGGTGGTTTGAGAGGGCAGTCTGATGGTCTGTGTACTGATGAGCTGTTTGCTTTGGAAGGTTGCACTGCGACACTCCGTATATCTCCGCTAGAATATGTTGAAAACGCTGCTGTGTGTTCGTTCTGCTCCGCTGCCATGAAATACATTTCATGGCAATCCATTAGTTGATGAGATATCTCAGTCTGGACCGTGACAGCTGTCACGGTGGCTCAATCCTACAGAAGATAGAGGGTTCATGGTTATGTGTGAAGTGTTTGTTATCTTAGTGTAAGGATGGGGTGCTGCAGGAATCCTAAAACCCGGAAATGAGTCGGTGTTTTTACACATTTGGTGGCTGAAATAAGTTCTGTGGTGAAAACAAGCTTCAGAGATTTTCACATTTTGTTCTACAACATAAAATTGTCAGTAAATACAACACTTGTGTCTTAAGAAAGGTGTTTTTAAACAAGTGGCTAAATGAGACTCCAGATGTTGTCGGGGACATTAAATATATCAAGCTTGGTGGAAGTGAAGTCATGATGAACTTTGATTATAGCGTCAGTTCTTTACTTCTGCACTTACCAACAAAGCGTGTAAGTATCATAAACCGTTTACCACAGAGATTATTATTATTATTCATCGGCTGTTTGTCGAGGGAACCAGTGCGATGATAACTTCCATGTTGGCCTTTAATTTCTTCTTGTTTTAAGATATTAAGTAAAAAAAAAAAAGCCTCCAGACAGATTTGCTTGTTTCGAGAAAAAGAAAGCTCATTTTTGTGTCGTTCTTTACTTTAAAGGGTCACATGTGGAAAAGGTGCATCTGATACTTAAAGATCATTAGAATCAGTTCAGATTAGCATCTTCCCAGTATCATATTGATCTTTATTAAATCTATAATCAATGGAACTGCGTTGGAGAGGCCTGGAGCAGCTCTGACTTTGGGGTTAGTGTCAGATTGTCCTGGTTGTGACTCGTCTTATGTTCAGGTCAAATCATTGCTCGATAACAGGAAGTTAGCAGTTTTTCTGCTGAGGTTTCGCCTGCTCATTTCCTTTTTTGGGGTCTCCCACTGACCCCGACCTCCAGTCAGCCCCTTTACCTTCAGTCAACATGCAGCAGAACTGTCGGAAACCTGTTGTTAGTCTGTCTCTGTGTAAATACATTGCTTAGATATACAGGAAAGGACTAAAGTTGATAAGGAAACAAACTCCATCTCGCTCTCTCTCTGCAGGTTTGTGGCATCAGTCTCCCGCTTCCTCCCAAGAAGCTAATTGGAAACATGGACAGGGAGTTCATAGCAGAGAGGCAGAGAGGACTGCAGGCCTTTCTGGACTCAATTACCCAGCATCCCCTGCTCTCCAGCTCCCTGATAGTCAAGAAGTTCCTTGACCCAAACAACTACTCTGCCAACTACACAGGTGTGTTCCTTCGTCTTCACTGGGAGATTATTTTCAGTTTTTTCTTATTCAGAAATGGAAATTCACATCAAATACTTAAGTACAGTTTTTAATATTTTATGTTACTTAATACTTCACTAAATATTCACTATATATACACGGTATATATGTATTTTAATGTAGTTTTTACCCAATGACATTAACCTGAATATATTCTTTTTTAACATTTGCTTTGCAGATTCAGATTTTACAAAAGATGTGATGAATTTATAAAACTACTAACAAACACACTGCTACAGATTTAAGTGTTTGAAGAGACCACCTTGGATTCTGTGTTTTTAGACTCATAAATATATTCTGAAAAATTCTAGTGGTAGTTTCTAAAGAGGCACTGTGGCAGATATCACATGTGGACCATGAGAGCTGTATGTTTATGAACATTTATTGTCAAAACAATGCCGGTTTTCGTGTGTTTACAAGGACATCGATATGCAAAGAACAGTGTAACCATTTATTGTTTTAAATCACCAATATCTCTCTTTTTGTATTGTTATATTTCATTGTTTTCTTACTTTTTCTGTCTCTCTGTCTGTCAGAGATCGCCCTGCAGCAGGTCTCCATGTTCTTCAGGTCGGACCTGAAGTGGGAGGTCCTGGAGCCTCTCAAAGACAACGGTAAGACTCTGAACCTGACTGTTTGCAGTGCTAATGCTCACCGCTAGCACAGCATGCTGAAGTTTGCTTTAGCTTCGTTGTTTTCAAATGCAACACTGCACACAGTCGGTATCCAAAATAAATAATATTCTATAAGTACTTCATGCAACCCCACTTCAAAACATCCAAACTACCGCTTTAAACTAGTCGCTGTTTAGCATTTAGCTACAATGCGATTGTAACAGCAGCACAGTGAACAGAGCGTATTGAAGTAAGCAACAATGTGTTTCATTGATTCATTGCTTGGAAGAGAAAGAATGTGTTCCTCTTCTCTCAAAAGTGTTGCTTTAACACGATGCAGTATATTTGAATGTATGTCAACACGTTTGACAACATTGTTGTTTGATTCTTATTGGCTGATTATCAAATGAAGTGACACCCTGTTTGTTTGTTTTAAGGCTGGAGGATCAGGAAGAAATACTTTCTAATCAAAAACAAAGAGCAGCCCAAAGAGCGGTATCTGCTGAGCTGGGTGAGTACAAAAGAAATCGAGTTTCACTGATCCAAAAACAGCAACAACAGGCTGAGAGAAATGTCTCAGGAGAACAGTAATACAAGCGCGCAACATGGGACGTTGTTTCATCTGTCTTTAAATAGTGAGTTGAGATCTTCGGAGTAATGCTCATATTCTATATGAAGTTTCAAACATGCATGCGTGAATTGTTATTTAATCAGGTTTTGTTTGTATTGATTTTGAACCAAAATATATCAATTAATTATTTTAAGGAAACTTGTATCGTTGCGATGTGGGTGGTATGTGCAAATCAATCCTGAGGAGCTCTCTCACCTGAAACGTTTCGTCCTGAAGACTCTCACCGCTTGGTGAGCGAGGAGCTCCGGGTGTCAGTAACACGGAGTGAAGCCGAACATCGTTCATTTGCACAAACCACATTGCAACGGTACAACGTCACGGTTTCCCTCTGAACTCAAAAACCTGCCGGCGGGATGGAAAACATGTCCTCTTGAAACAGTGGGCAAAACTCCAGCGTATATCGTAGCCAGAAGCTGTAAAAACTGTCATGATTGTAACATTTTCTACTTTCCGACGGTCCTTGAACATATCATGTGTGACGAACGCTTCAGTCAGAAAAAGCAATCGAAAATGAGCTTAACATTTTGATATTTCATCCCAAAAATGTCTCATTTAAAATTTTGCTCCAACTAAACCGTTTACTCAAACCAGATCATGTAAAATACGTTAAATTCTGCGCTTCTCAACGCAACTAGGAAGCCATGATCTACTCGGCTGAAAAACAATCTGTAAAACTTTGACTGAACTGCATTAAGGAGAGGACAGTAGAGGTTGTACAAAGGTGAATAGCTCAATGTATATATATCACATGGAGCGTTAACACTTTATCAAAGAAATTCAACTTGCATTTCTTTAATTTTATGATTTATGGCATTGCAACTTTGTTATACTGCACAAAAGACATGTTTAAGTTCTCTCTATTTCTAGCCATGATCGTGCTGTTTCCATAGAAGTGCAGGACTTACTGTATATATTTCAGTGAAAATCAAGAAAAATGTGACGGGAGTGAAAAGGTGCTCTGGGTTCAGAAGGTTGAGGATTGTAAAATCCCAGCCTCTAACCTTTAGTCCTTCACAAACTGATGATTGAAATGAAGTTGTTTCTTCAAAATCACTATAATGAAGCATTTTACAAATATAATTCTGTGACACGTTTCAGCGGGACAGCGTTTTATGGAAAAGTGACCGAATTCCGAGCAACGACAACACATGGACAAGTTTTACTCAATGAATTCTTGAATCACAATGACTTCTTCTTTTCTCTCTTCAAAGGGAAGTAAGAATTTAGAACAGTTTTCCACATTTACTTTCCTCTGACTTGTTTCCAGGAATGTCTCAGACGCTGAGGGATTCCCCACAGTAGGGATTAAATTTAGCTTCATTTGGATTAAATTAAAAGTAATTCACTGATGTTAAAGTATTTTCCAGACGGAGAGATAAAGTCTGTAAACCGTCCGATTGGTATTTCCTCCATATTTCACTCCGCTCAGATGACTGAAGGGACTTTTCTTGACTTTCCAGAGTGTCTGGATTGTACCTGCATCGATCACATGTGGGATCTATGTCGGCTTTAATCTTAGAAAGTCTGACTTGAAACGAATGCAGACGGTGTTTTATTTTAATTGAATAACAGTTTTCCTGAGGCGCAGCGAAGAGGAGAATATTCCCTGTATTATCTTTGTCTAAAATTAGTTCATCCAAATCTGTTTCCCATTTATTTTTAAGGAGGTCTAATGGCGTCACATTGTGCGTCTTCAGTAGTTCATAAATTATTCTCATTTCCTGTTGTGAATGATTTACAGTTAAATATTTAAGTGGGAGTGCATGAGCAAAAGCAGTCTGAGTTTAAAGCTACAAAGTATCTGGAAATATGTGATCTGGGAGTATTTTAAATCTGAAAAGTACATGACTTAAATTGCATTTGTGTAACTCGAGTTCACAGAAGCAAGTCTGTAGAGAAGATTGTAATTATCGAAATAACCAATAATCTGTGTGTGTGTGTGTTGTAGGTGGACCTGGGTCCTGATAAGTTCCTGTCCGACAAAGACCTGCAGTCAGCAATAAAGCTGCTAACCAGCCTGTCTGTACGTACTCAGTGTGTGTGTGTGTGTGTGTGTGTGTGTGTGTGTGTGTTAGTAACTTGCACTGCCTTACACAGCCACAAACACAGTAACTAAACATTTGGTCATGAAACCAGAATCTGACTTTTTAGCAACTGTTTGAACATATACACATAAACATTGTGTTAAATTTGCCGCAACAAAAAGGAGCCAAAACATGCCAAACTGTAGTGACTGCACTTAGATCTGTGAACTGTTGAACTCGTCATTATAACGGCGTGGAGACAGCTAAAGCTAACACAAGCTATGTCAACAGAAAGCTACCCGCTAGGTGGTGAGATAGCTACGGATAAACGTAGCTATAGTTAATAATAAATTCTGATTTGTTTTTACTTCATTGTTTTTTTTTATTATTCTGATGGTCATTCGGATAGTTTTTCATATATATATATATATTCCACATTACTGAGGCTGTACCCAAATCCAGTAGTGATGAGAAAAATATTCCTCTTTAAATCGTACCATTTTAATATGAATATTAAAAGCAGAGATGCATTTATTTCTAATTAATAATGAGCTGTAAATAATTAGTGTTCCTCTTCTCCAGACTCCATATCTCTGTCCGCTATTGTTCTCCAGCACCAGTGAGTCTTCAGCGCTGCTCATCCGGCCGTTCAGTGAGAGAGGCTCTCTGAGAGACCACATCTGTAAGGTGTGTGTGTGTGTTTGGAGTAAAGGCATTACTATGCTTCAACTGAAGTGCTTTTCGGATGAAGTCCTGCATTCAAAACTTCTCTAAAGTAAAAGTATTGGCATAAAAAGTAAAAGTATTCATTTAGCAGAATATTTCATTTCAGAAACATGTATATTATATTGTTGGATTATAATTATTGATGCAATAATGTGTTCACTGCTTTAACGTTGTAGCTGGTGGTCATCTTAATTACTTTATATATATATATATATATATATATATGTATATATATGTATATGTGTATATATATGTATATGTGTGTGTGTGTGTGTGTGTGTGTGTGTGTGTGTGTGTGTGTGTGTGT